ATCCAGATTCGTTATTCGCTTGAAAAGGGTGACAGAGGTCACCTTTCCAACAGGCAAGTGCAGGGGTTCCTTTTAGGAAACATTTCTCCTTCATCCCTTCCCATCTCCTCATCATCTCCATCCCCACCTCATACAACATGGCCCCCAGTTACATCACTGCACCTGTAAATGTTTGTGTCCTTATTGTTCTTTTTGAAAAGTGCATGCTTGTGTTTTAAAGACAAGTGAAGGATGTGTGTATTAAGGAGGATAAATCTTGTAACTGGAACTGTGGCCAGCAAAGCCCTCCTGTGTGGGTTCAGTGGATCCTTAGACAGCAAAACTCGGCACAGACAACACCCACTCCACACCACCATCACAAGATTTCTGTCGGCACCCCGAAGTTCAGACAGCACTTGTTTCCTCCGCTCTTGTCTCGTTTTCTTCCTGAATCCCGGCTGCCTCACTTCAATAGATAATTAAAATCTTTCTTACTTTCTCAATACTCCGTGGGGAAATTCCACTTTGAAATTCTCTTTGCCCTGTCATGTTTACTCTACAGTTGGGAGGACAGGGATGAGCTAGGAAACAAGATCTTTCTCTCTCCACCTCTGGCATTTTTAAAATGACGTAGGGAGTTTGGACATCCTCCCTACCCCCACCTCCCCCTCTTTGATCCTAACCCTGATTCCTGGAGAATCATACTTTTCCTTTTAACGCTTGCTGATTACCGCACGGGGTGGGAGCAAGAGGGGCTGCCCAAGGAAGCTCCCCGGAGCCCATTCTAATCTCCGCGGAGCCCCAGCTGCCCCGCGTGCCGGGAAACGTCGCGGTCCCGGGGAGGCCGGTCACAAAGCCCGGCTGGGCTGGGGCGCGAGGGCATCAGACGCTGGCGGCCCCGCGGCCCGCGGTGAGCGCAGCGCGGCGGGGGCGGCTCTGCTCCGCGGGCCGGAGTTCGCTGGGGGACAACTTACTGTGCTCGCTGTGCGTCCACACCGCAAACTCCCAAGAGGGAGGGGGAGAAGCAGTACCAGGCTGCGTCGTGTCCGAGAGTGGAGGCAACAAAAGAGGAGAGGGAAGAGGGAGGACAGGAGGGCGGGAGGGCGGGAGACGCGGGTGCTGACCCCTCTCGCGCCCCAGAGCGCCCCTCGGACCCTGACTGGCAGATCCTCCGGGAGTGCCGGCCCTTCCTTTGGGCGCCCTCCGGCCCGCTGCTCAGACAGGTAGTTGGAGGGAAAAGAACAAAGCTCCCGGCCAAGGCGGGCGGCGGTCCCGGGGCGCCCCGGGGGCGGGGTAGGCCGAGGCCGAGGTGCCGCGCGCCCCGCCGGCTTCCCCGCCCCCCGCCCCCCGCCACACTCCGCCCCTCCCTCGCGCCTCTTAGTCCTCGGGGAAGCGGTTCCCCCGAAGGCACCGGCGGCGGGCTGCGGAGGAAGTGAAGGGGGGGGAGCGCGGGAGGCCCGCGCGGAGTGGGGTGGGGGGAAGCAGCGCGGGGGAGGAGGCGGGGGGCGGGGCGGGGGGCGGGTGCGCCCTGGAGCAGCAGAGTCGGGCCGGGTACCGACTGCCATCCTGCCGCAATTTCCCTGTGTCATGGCTCCGGTCTCTTAGCAACAGCTGCGAGTCCGGCCGCCCCGAGCCGCGCCAGCCGCTGCCGCTGCCGCTGCCGCCGCCGCGGGCTCAACTCCACCCGGCGGAGCCCGACGCGCCGCAGCCGCACAAAAGAGGCGCTGGGGCCGGCCCGGGAGCGCCGCGGCAGGGCTCGCGGGGAGGCGCAGGAGGAGCGGCGGCGGGGAGGACAGCTCCGAGGCAGGATGCGGGCAGCGGAGGACCTGACACTTCTTGGAAACTCTTGGAAATGGCTCCCGCCACAGCCGCGGAGGGGGCTGCGAACCTGGGGCGGGCGCTCGCCCCGGCTGGGCTGCTGAGCCGCGCTCTCCTGGTGGGCCCCGAGGCGCTGTCCCTGCGCCCCGCCGTCGGCTCGGGCTGAAAAAGTTTCTCCATGGTTCCTTTGTGTCGCCCGAGCGCCCGTTCGCCTCCCCGGAGCTGCCCCAGCCTTCCCGGGTAAGTGAGCGATATTGTTTGCTTATAGTGCTGCCATTTTGAGCAATTCTGTGAGTACTCGGCCCCCGAGCTGCCCCTCCCCACCCCTGCGGCCCCGAGCCCTGGTCCCCCGGGCTGCTGCTGCTCTGGCAGAGTCGTTTTCCTGGGCGGGCTGCATGGGATGCACTGCCCAGGAAAAGCGAGCTCAGGATTGCCCTCACTTCGCTCCTGCCTGTGTTCTTTTCAGAGGCGGACTCCCAGCTGCTGCACTCATGTGACTCCAACATAAATAAGCAGACCAAATAGCAGGGCAAGGGGTTCGCTGTCCTGCCCATTAGGGAGTGGGGGGTCGAGGACCTGCACTGAGTCCCGGGCAGGGCAGGGCGCTCCCAGCCTGTGGGCTGGGAGCCTCAGATGCCGAGTGGGGCTTAATCCATCATGAGCCGAGAACTTGAATGTCTCTCTTGGAAGCAGTTGTATTTTTAGACATCCCTCCTTTGCTTCCCCCATCCTCCATTCCTTAACCACAGAAAGACCGGAACCAGGCAGTAAATTGCGAGGGCAGCCAACCTCGACTGCCAAGTTTGTTTCCCCTCATTATGTATAAAGAAAAGCCTCAAAGGTAGGTCTTCCTTGCCATCTGACTTTTGTCAGTATTTCAGGTCAGATGACAATACATTATAAAGGAGTTCAGCCTTAAAGGGAGCTGAAGGAATAATAAACTAGGGAGTTAATTACTAGCTATTAAACTAATTTTAAGATCTGTAAACGATTGTTGAAATCCATTCCAGTTTTCCTTACGTGCTGTCTACCCAGAGCCAAGGCTGTCTTACTGAGGAGACATACATGTGGGTGCCTTCTTTCCCAGAGATGCTGAGCACCCTGGTGTACCTTATCAGTGCCCAAGAAAATGTTAGCCCTTCTCTCTTCTGGGAGAGCTACCCTGCCAACTGAGCCTAGGTTTCTTTCTAAAATGTCTGGCTCCTGAATCCTTAAAATGACTGCAGATCTCCAGATTATTGCATTAAAGATACTACAGTCTAGGGATCACTGAAAACAGCAGTCTCTGTGTTACAACTACACAATAAATGTGCTTATTTTGGGGGATGACAGATGAACAGTAGCTACTTTTTTTTTTTTTTTTTTTTTTTTTTACAATCTGTTTGTACTTACTGGTGCAGCCTCTTCTTGAAACAAATTTTTAAAGGCTTATAGATGTATTCTCTCTACTAACCCCTCTCTAACCTACCTCGTATTTCTCTTTACTGAAAACCAACTAAGTTCCAAGGAGACATTGATTCACAAACATTGTAAAGAGCTGATTACTGTCTGCTTTGCCACCAGTGGAGAAAAGATTCTGCCTATATTGATATAATGGAGGGGATCAAGGGCCAAAGCTCTTTACCCAGGCACCAATTAAAAGCAAAATTCTTCCTAAGTAATCCCACATTTTCAAAGGGTAATTTATTCTAAAACATGAATTATTTCATAAAGGATAAAATACCAAAAGGCTTGTGAGTAATATCTGAGCCTTTCAAATTCATACAATGCCCTTAATTTTAGCATCTCTATTATAGGAGGGAACACAACCAATGGAACAGAAAATGTTTTACTCTGGGGATCCAGCAGGATTGAAATTTTTAGAAGCTCACAGATATTAACAAAGACACATCTGTGCATTTACACAGGGCTTTATTACAAACGACTAAACTTCCTATAGGATAGTGCATTGATTGTTGCCACCCTCCCTTTCTAAAAATGACCTCATGAGAGAAAGATGAAGAAAACAAGCTCTCACTTGGGGGAGATGTCATTCTACAAATCATCATTATTATGTAGACTGCTATACCTAGTTAATTGCCTTCTCATTTGAATATTAGGATTCTGAAGAGTGCTTTTGGCACATTAATAAGGGGTCAGAAAGCTATTATGGTAGAGTGGCTTCCCCCCCCCTTTTCTTTTCCTTTAAGATTGTAATTTTCCCACAGAAGAGGGGGGAAAAAAAGATCTTTCTCTTAGAGATTCTAGGGGACTTCTCAAAGTCCCTGATGAGATTTAGCACAATGATACCTTTAAGGGAGTTCCTTTGAGGGAGGAGAGGAGGCCAGAAGGAAGAGCTCAGTTACATAACCAGTTACCTAAAACTAAATATTCCACCCCAAGAAGCTGTCCAGATGTTGCAAAAAAGAGATGAGGGAAAATGCTGCTTGCCTTTAGCTGCAGGAACAGGAATAGGTGGGAGACAACTTTGTGAAGGGATTTATTGCCAGAAGACTGATGTAGTTCTGGTGTTCTCCCCGAAATGAACTCTCTATTAATTATCTGCAGTAAATAAGCCGTCTGCCTGCCAGTATGTGACCTTTAATTTTCATCCAGTGATGAAAATTGCTTTTGTCATTATAAAACAGTAACTTTTGTGACTGTTTTAGTGACTTTGGGCTAAACATTGACAAATTCCTCTGCTTAGAGACTTGAACCTCCTGTACAGCTCCCTTGGGCAGTCTTCTGATTCCCATAGGAATAGGACAAAGGGAAAAAGGGAAGTCCTCAACCACCACTTTGAGTCCCCACCTTTGGTTTCTACTAATGGTCAGCACTCCTTCGGCTGCCAGCTGGGAGGGTTTGAAATCAGCAATGCTGGAATATCACCTACAGAATGTGTGTGGGAAGGTGGGAGGAGTTCTCTCAAATTGTTTTATGACCTCCTATCAAAGACTGCAACAGCGTTTCTGGGACCTGATCCGTCCACCCCACCCCCCTGGTCCCTCACTTAGTGGGTAGCCCTGGGGTGGCACACATGTGGTGGGACCTGGGAGCGGGACGTTTGCAGAGCGTGGGATGTTGCTGCAGCCAAGCCTATACCCTCTGACTGTCTTCCTCTGCTTTGCAGCAGGAGGAGGTGGCGGAGCAGCTAGTGGACAGCTGGCGCCTCCACTACACAAGCCTCTGCCACAGAGACTAGCCCCGCAGGGCTCTGGCTCACCATGATAGCCACCGGTGGCCTCCTGAGGATTTCCGCCAGAAAGCAGGATCCCCTCCGCCCCCCAACCCAGGTCCCCAAGCGCAAGCGGAAAGCCAAGAAAAGGCGCAAGAACGATGTGGTGGTGGTGAAAGGCAAGCTAAAGCTGTGCTCCATCTCGGGGCTCATTGCCCTCTGCGGGATCCTAGTGCTGCTGGTGGGCATAGCCATGGCGGTGGTGGGCTACTGGCCCAAGGCCAACGGGACCAACAGGGAAGGGGGTAAGCAGCTGCCGCCCGCAGGCAGCGGCCACCGCGCCCCGACCACGGCCAATAGTAGCGGCAGTGGCAGCAAAAACCGGTCCAGGAGCCACCTGGGGACTCCGGGGGGTGTCAACTCGAGTTTGGTGGGCGCGCCCCGGAGCACACCTCCCGCGCGGTCCGCCGGCCGTTCGTCCCCTTCCACATCTGTGGGTTTCTTCTTCCGCATCTTCTCCGGGTACCTGCACTCTGACAAACTCAAGGTCTTAGGGCCCCTCATCATGGGCATCGGCATCTTCCTCTTCATCTGCGCCAACGCGGTGCTCCACGAGAACCGAGACAAGAAGACCAAGATCATCAACCTGCGGGACCTCTACTCCACCGTCATCGACGTGCACAGTCTCCGCGCCAAAGACCTGGCGGCCGCCGCGGCTGCTGCCGCCGCCGCCGCCTCCTCGTCCTCCGCCCCCGCTTCGGCGCCCCCCGGGGCCCAGCCGCTCAACGGCTTCCTCAGCTACGTGCAGTCGCGGGGCCTGGAGCTGAAGCCCGGGAGCTGCGGCGGCAGCGCGGGGGACGCCTTCGGGGCGGGGGCGATGCTGGCCAGGGGCTCGTGGCCCCACCCCGCCGCGCTGGGCGGGGACGGCGGCGGGGCCAAGGGCGCCGCGTCCCCGCCGGACCTGGCCTCGTCCCCGCGCTGCCCGCGGGAGCCCCCGAGCCTGGCGGAGGCCGTGTACAGCATCTACCGCGAGCGCTCGGGCGTGGCCAGCCGTCGCCGGGCCGCCGCCGCTGCCGCCGCCGCGGTGGCCGCTGCCGCCGCCGCCACCGCGGCCGCCAGCAGCAGCGGCAGCCCGGCGCCCTGCAGCCCACCCGAGAGCTGGGGGCGCCAGAGCACCGCCAGCTCCCTCGTGGGCTCCTCGCTGAGCGCCTTCGCGCTGCTACCCTTGCAAGGGGACCGCGACGGGGACGGGGATGGAGCCGGGGATGGGGACGGGGACGCGGAGGGCGCGAGCTGCAGCTGGCAGAGGCCGCCTGGGGAACGTGGCTCCCGGGAGATTCCGCGGGGCGAGCTTGACCTGAGCTTGACCGACCTCCGTGGTGCCCCGGGCGGCTCGCGCTGGGCGCCCAGAGAGCTGGAGGAGCCGGAGGGCGCGGCGGCGGCGCGCACCGCCAGGGGGCCTGGTGGCCGCCTGCCCAGGACCGGCAGGTACGCGGCCCTACGGCGCCGCAGCACCAGCGGGCTCCCGGACTACCGGGCGCCACCGTCCCCGGAGCCCCCGCCCTCCCCGGGCAGCGCGGAGCTGGACTCGAGCCTTCTGGCCAAAGCTGCCTCCCCGTCCCCGTCCCTGCGGCTGGAGGACTCGCCCCCTGCCAGGCCGGACTCGCCGAGCTCCCAGTCGGATGACCCATCCTGCTGCAATAAGGGCTACACCCCCCTGCGGGAGGCTGGCACCTCTTTGGAGTCGGTTGTGGAAGCAGTAGCCAGCAAAAGCCCAGACTGTGAGGGCCCCACGGCCCCGGGGGCGCAGCAGAGGCACCCCGAGGATCCCAGGCCACCCGCGGGCCCGTCACCTCAGCCGGTGCAGAGGCAGTTTACAAACAAGGAGAAACTCTTCATGATTTCCCGGTCTCACGCCATAGGGGTAGAGGATGGAGAACTGGAAAGTACTGGCATTTAGGAAAAGAAGGGGGGGGGGGCGGAGTGGTGGGCAAAGGAATCAGAGGATTGGGGAAATGCCCACTTGAATCCGTGAATTTAACATTTCCCTGTTTCCTTGTGGACTTACCCGAGGAAATCATCCAATACCCAAAGAGCTGCAGAATGTTATCCCTGAAATGCGTTCACAAGATTCCTGTAGATAACTCCAAGCAATTTTTTTTAAAAAGCAAACTAGTCTTTTATGTCCGATGGTGATTGTATGTTCCATGAAAACCAAATGTATTAAAAGGTCAGCAATCTAGTTAATTAGATGAAATTCTCTTAATTTTCTTAGGATCAAAATAATATATTTTTTTGACAGTAACTGTGCACTTTACTCCAACTTTTTCCTCCCCCTCATTTCCCTAACCCTGTCCTGTGCCTCTGGTTTTTTCCATAGCTGCTTGTGAATGACAAGCTTTCCTTCTCTTGTGCTTTTGTGGAGCATGGAAGGGTTTGTCGAAGTTCTTTGAGAACTGACCTTACTAAATGAAGTCAAAGCCAGAAGCAAGAGTCTGTCAGGAAAGAGCACTTTTCCTTGCCCCGCCCTATTCTGCTCCAATAGTTCAAAGGCCTCTTTATTTTTTAAAAGGGTATTTACAATTTGCTACTAGGGTATCTAATGGAGGAGGGGATGGGCATCATCTAGATGGATTGTTACATTCCTAAATTCACTATATCAAGTATACAATATTGAGTATTATCACACCTGTGTTGCAAATAGCATTATTAAAAACCTTTTTTTAATAAAAGAAGTTTCCAAACAAACAGTTAAACATAATATCGCTTCATTTTGCCTTGGAACTAATGCTTCTAATACACATTAAACATTTAACAGTTCAGCTGGTAAATCTAAAATATTATGCTATGACACTGTACTATGATTGTAGCTATCCTCCCCCAACGTGCTCAGTGCTATCATGACTCTATCCATTTACAGTATATTTTTAACTTTTAAACATAGGGTAGTATTGAACATTTGGGAGTTTCTCTTTCAAATAGAATGAAACATTAAATAAATAGTAATTTTCTATAATACTTCTAAGTTTACCTCAAAGTATTAATTTACAGAGCACCAGGCTTAATGGCCCCTTTTCATCCTCTTGGATTTGACTTACTTGGTTTTGATTTTAAGTTCATGATCTTGAATCCATGGCCTACATAGGCTAAAAAGGTAATGTTTTAATAATTTGGTAGATTGGTTACACTTGGTTTTACTGAAAGTCAATTAGTTACTCTTCAAGAACAGTAAACAAGGTACCTTTCTGATGCCCTCTTCCTTTGAATGTGAGAGCTAAGAACCTCGAGGGTGCTGTTACTTTCTTTTGACCATTTGGGCCTGAGGCTATCATTGTAGGACGCTCAAATACTGATTTTAAAGGAAAACCAGCCAAAGATGTGGTCATGTCAGTCCCCATGGATGAAGCAGTGGGTTCAGTGGGAAGAGTGCAGATTCAGGGGTGAAGCTAGACCCCCCAGCTCTCAGTATTTGCTAGCTGTGTAACTTAGAACAGTCACAAATGCTGTCTCAGTCATTTGATCTATAAAATGGGGACAACTAGACAGACCTCATAGAGATATGAGCGGGTGGGCAAGGGATTCTATGTACAAAGGGGAGCAGAGTACCTGGCTCAGTGAACTCAGTAAATGGTTATTGTAATTATTATTATCATTATAATAAGTTGTCTGCATGCAGGCTGCGGAATAACCCTTCCTTCAACTTGAGCTCAAGAAAGCCTGGCTAAAACCTGGAATATCCACTTACTATCTACATGACCTTAGGCAAATCACATAATCCCTCCGGGCCTCTGGTGGATAATATAATCTCCCTGACTGCCTTCAGCTCTAGAAGCTTTACTTCATTTCAGGGTATTTGTTTTGTCCTGGATATAATCATATTTGTACATACAACTGCAAAGTGAGTATATTTTGTAGTCTACCATTTAGTGTGACATGCTGTAATCAGTTTAAAAGGACCTAATTTATTTCCACATTGGATCTGCATTAAGCTATTAACTCACTTGAAAGCTGTGGATTAATTTATTTCGTCCTTCTATAGAGCAAAAGTGAGTTTCCGCTAGTAAGAGGGACAAGCAAGTGTAATGATACCTCCAGGTAGTGTTAAATTTCATTGGTCTCTGTTGTTTTATCATACTTCCCCCAAATTTCTGATTTCCCTAGTTTCTCTTCTCCATTATCTTGCATAGCAGGCCAGGATTCATACAGGGTTTTGAGGATTAGCGAGACCTGTTGGCAGATGCAGAACCAAAATTGGCATTTCTGGAGACCATCAGAATCTTTCCTACCTTCTTAGCTTCCTGCTAGATCCTTTCCCAAAAACTGTTCTTAGAGACTTGCAGAGAAGTGTTAGGGTGCACAGCTAGTTTAAAAGCTGGAATCTGTGTCTAAGTCTCCCGGCTGGCATAAACAATGTTTTTCCTCCATGCAACTTGACAGGGTTTGTGGTATCCAAATCAATAGGATTATTTGAAGTGATCTTAGAGATCATGGAATCCCTCCCCTCTATTTATAAACGAGATTGCTAAGAATCAGAAAGATGGGACAATTTGTTCAAAGACAAATAGCAGTGGCAGGACTAGAAAGCTAAAATAATTGCAACAGTTGGCATATGCATGCCCCCTCCCCGCCACTGCCCCATATTCCTACCCTGTACTAACCAGCTGGGGGGCAATGGGCAAGCTACTTAGCCTCTCTTTGTCTCAATTTCCTTTTCCATACAATGGGAATACTAATGCTCCCTACCACTCAGGACCTGACCAAAGATTCAATGAATTCCTATCTGTGTAGAGCATTTATAACAGGCTTGGCACGTGGAGACCGTCATAAAAAGTTTTACTTAAAATAGAAATAAGCTGTTAAAACCATTTCGTATGACCTTCCTTTTTATGAACGGAATAATTTCAGGTTTAAAAATCTAAAGTATAAGGCAACACAGCAGAGGGGTTCCAAGCATGACTCGGAGAGGCAAAGAACATTTTACCTGGGTTTCCGCATCTGTCAGAAGGAGATAATCGAGAGCCTCTGACTCATGGAATTAATTATTTAAATGAGAGCTAAATAAACTAATAGACTCAAAGAACTTAGAACCACTCCTGGCACAAATAAACCTTCAGTCAGTGTTAACTGCTATTATTAAGGCAAAACACAGAAAATTAATTAGGAGACTAAATTTACTACTCAGTTGCTAGGGACAACCATAAACTTACTGTACTGAGAAGTCTTTAGAGTTTGAGTTTTAGGAAGAAAAAAAATAGACTTTAAGAAATGAGAATCTAGGCCCCTACAATGTCCTCAGTAGCAAGTAGAGGTACTGAGAGCTAGATATGGGCCCTCAGGGTCCCATCGTCATGACATTATGTAATTACGAATGCGGCCGCAAACCGCTTCCATGGCTGTATTTGGTCATGGCTGTTCCTTTTCCATGACAGAGGCCAGGCTAGGGCGAGTTCAAGGCTCCTTTCTGTCAGAGGAGTGGCCTGAGAGGAAGGCTCTGGGAAAATAGTCAGGGGCAAGTGCCTGTTGATCCATTTACATTTCTAGACAAAAGTTTTTGTTGTTGTTATTTTGTTTTTGTTTTTTTCCCATACTGGATTTCTCTTTAGTCATTTGAGTTCTTTTTAAAGATGGAGTTTTGAAAATTTCCTCTCTGAATTAGAGAACTTAAAAAAAAAACCCCTCCAACAACATAAAATTAGAACAAATTAAATCTATGAATTCGTATTCTGTCAGAATAGCATTTTTGTCAAGAGACAAAATACCATTTTGCCAAGAGACAAAAATACATTTTATAGTTAAATAAAGAATAGGATGGATATTTGTGGAGCTTGTTTTCTATAGACCCAGACTATTTATTTTTTATTTTTTGGCTAAAAATCATTGGGTGAATATTTAGACTAAGTTTTTGAATGACTAACTCTGAAAAGCATTTGGAGACTTTTTTTTTTTTGTTCCTCGGGAAGTCATCTTTGAGGTTTTTTTTTCTTCAAACAAGAATGAGTGTCTTTAAATGGAGGTGCAAATTATATGTGTTTTATAAAGTCACTACAAATTGGGGGGAGGGGTGTTCCATGTGCATTAACAACTTTAGTCAAACACTTCCTGCCACTCTCCAAAACCGGATGAGCTCCTTATTGTGTGTGACATCTATTTCTTTATGAGGTCAGGAAAGCACTGGGCTGGTGGTGGGCCTATATATGGGCCTGAGCCACAGTAAGAGTTATAAATGCCTGCCAGCCTGGGAATTTCACCTTCACCCTTGAGCTGGGGGTTGCTGCCATCTGGAAATTAATTAATTAATTTGTTTATTTATTTATTTATTCAACTTTCAACTGACTCCCAACCCTCACCCCGTCCATAATGCTAGCCTGTGATATTGCCCTGTATGATAAACAGGATGGGTTGGCTGATTTGTTGTAAAACACCCTGCTCATGATGTTGCCAGTTAAAAGACTAAAAAAAAAAAAAAAGCTTATGCAGATTCACCTGGAATATCATGAAGCACGAGCGTGTCTCAATGAACCCGTGTGGCTTGACCTTTGCTTCAGACTCCACACTGCCTCCAAGCCCCACTAAGGGGAAGAGGGTTGGCTATCAGTCACAAGGGAGAAAAATGGGGAGCAGAGCCAGAGTTGGAAGAAAAAGAGAATCCTGCAAAAAAAAAAAAAAAAGAAGAAGAAGAAAAAAAAGATAAAGTTAGATTAAATTCACAAGGAAAGCTTTTTGTTTCACAAAGGAGCCCGTGGTCATTTGGTTTGGAGATCATTTGTTTATTAGAGAAATGTCTTAAAGTGAAACATGACAGTAACTTTATTCCTTAGAAGATATTCTTTCAGCACATGCATGGTTGGACATTAATTTGTGTATTTTTTAATATTTAAGAAATTCAACGTAACACTGTCTTGACACAAATCCACTTGATTCTAAGAATTGCTAAACATCTGATTACATTCAATAATGGAA